GTGAAAGAAGCTACAAAACTTTGAAAAACGATTGAAGTGCGAAGTAAGTGGAAATGTGAATAAATTATATAGGAGGTAATTTAGTAAAAAAGAAAGAAAATGTAGAGAAGAAACATTAAATTTTTATTTCTTCTATGTTGTTTAAATTTCATCATTCTTTGTGATTTAAGTTTTTTTCACAAAAATTCCCCCAAAAAAACACAATCCTAGTGGCTATGAAATACTAGCACATATAGGTTATTGATTTTTTAATACTCTCCCCATGCATGAAAATAAATCGGAATGGATGAAGTTTCTATAAGGCCTACGTTTTATGAAAAATAAAATAAAGCCTCATCTCAAATCTTCGCCCGAAAAGTACTTTCGGCAATGGAAGTCGCCGTGATGGATCTAAAATCAATTCCCAACACCAACAGTGAAATTTGATATTAAAAAAATGATATAGATCATACAAATCTATGAACACTTATTTTTAGGGTGAAATAGACGGCTAGATAATTTATTACAATATACACAACGTTAACGCTTAAATCCTAATTTTTTCACAAACATAATGTTCAAGCCAAAATGATCGATGTAAAGGTTTTGCAATACTTGAAGTGTAATTTTCGATGAATTATTATTATTGTTATTATTATTTTTACAAGATTACTTTAAATTTATTTATCAATCAAGAATTACAACCATTCAAAAAGGAAAAACATCCAAAATAATCAAGTTATGCATAGCCTTCCCTCCTTTTGCCTAGCCATCAGCAATGTCATTTGCCTATACATATGCTGAAAAAAGACTTGGAAAACCTCACACATATCCATTATATTAAATATAGCCATTTCCTCATCAAACTTCATGGTGACCTGGATATCTTATTGCATCAATTTATCACGTTCAATGAATCCCCTTCAATAATTCATAATAAATTTTGATGAATTATGAGGTGGGAATTTACTTATTTTAATAAAGTTGCAGTTCTATCAATAATTTTCCAATTAGAAAAGCAAAGATTATAAGTACTACAACTGCCTATGTAGAATAAAGTTGAAGTGTTTTCTGCTATTTATTTTAGTTGAATGACAAAATTTAAATATGTTTTAAATAATTTTAAAGTTCGACATAGATTTGTAGTTAATATAAATCTATATTGTTCAACTAAAAGTGAGATATACATTAATGCATCTTTACATGTTTTATGAATAAAGGTGGTGTTTTATAACAACTTCTTTCTCTTTTAATAATCATTTTTCTTTTACTTATGTCTTTAAATGTTCTAATCTTGGGTTCGAACCCAGGACTCATGAGTCATGATTGACACAGGGCTCCATGGCAAAAAGTGCACTAATGGAATCCCAGGCCTTCACGCCTTCACATATAATAACAAAAGGTCAGTTTCTATTTTAATGGTGAACACTGAATGCTCCTTCCTTTATTCTTGTTACCCCATTTACCTTGCTTTTTTGTCTAAGTCCTAAGGTAGGAAACTAGGAATAGAGAGAGAAACATACTAACAAATCCGCACGTGTCATAGTGCTACTAGACTGGCTTTTTAAAGTCCATCTGTTGTGTTGGACCGACATCATTTTAAAATGTATCGGTCTATACACAATGTGCATAACCGGTAAATTTAAAATAAAGCTAGTCCGACTCATATTGTGTGCAACTGATTTGATTTTTGTCTTTAAAAAAATGTGTTCTGTAAAAGGTCGAATTTTATCTCAAAAAAAAAATACTTTTTTACTTAGGGGATAGATACAAAAATAAAGAGTTTTGAAATTAATAGTATGGTTTACAAAATAGTTGGGGGGATCATGCCTAGAAAATAAAGTCAAAGGAATTTTTATAATTTTCCCTTTTTTCCTTGTCGTTACGGGGAGAGAAAGAGAGAGTCACTACAATGGAAAGAAGGAACGCATGGGGTTGTCAATGGGTAAACCTCAATTGGGTCCAATCAAGTCCAAGTCAATTGGATCCAGACTTGAATGGGTGGATCAGTTTAGGGCATGTTGAGAACTATATATATGAAATGTGATTTATTTAGGTCAAGTTGAACCAACCCAATTATTGCCCAGGTAAAGAGAGAGCTATTAGAAAAGGGGCTGGGTCATGGTGGTAGCACCCCATACATAGTTACTATGTAGTGGTTTTCAATCCTACTGACATCGTCCATCGACACCTTATAAAAAAGCTAACTCTATGAAAAAATAGGTAAGGGACTCTCTTCCCCATTGAATTACCAAACAAGAAAAAGGTGAGAGAGCCACTAAAATGGAAAATAAGAGCGAGAATAAGATCAAGTAGAATGCACAATAAAGAGAGACATGAGAGAGAGAATAAGATTCCTAGGGGTGAAATAGATAGCAAGAGAGAGATTTATCAATTTGTGAAACTCCATCAATTGGGAAACATAAGGGAATTATTTTATTATTTGGCAAAGAAGCAACATTAATGATTCGTTAGTGGTTGGTAACTTACCATCCTCAAGATTAAGCATCATTCATGCTCTTGTCCCCTATCAAAGCGTTACAAATATTTATGACACCAACTTTTTCTTTAAAAAATGCCATATTCGAGAAAAGAGAAAATGTTTGTATTTTACTTTCATAAAGTTGCTGAATAAATTTGATTATGCACTCAGTAAAAGATTTTCAATACTATTATTTAGATCAATTATTTATACTTTTGAGTTGCTTGCTCCTTTTTCTTTTATAAAAGTAAATGACATGGAAATAATACAATGGAATAATCTTGTGGCAGCATAGTGTCCATTAACTCCCGCAAGCAAAACGCAAGATAAGAGTAATTTTAGGATGTCAAAGTTTGGGGATCCAACCATTCCAACTATATTGTACCTCTATATATATTAGAAAAAAAACAATATCAAGACTGGATGGAGACCGGCCTATTTTTGAAGGGCAAGATCTAAACGTCATCATCATTACCATCATCAGAACCTTTTTCCAACTATTTGATGGAATGAATCTTGAACTGTCATTCTGCCATATCAAAGGTTATATCCTAAATGAGGCCATAAGTCTATATATCTTTTTTCACTACTTCCAACCATGTCATTTTGAGCCACTCATTAATTTTTTTTAGCCTTCTACTTGAACCAACTTACCCTTCCTAATAGATGTTGTACTAGGTCTGTGATGCACATGCCCAGCTCATCTATGTTCTACATTCTATCATCCTATCGCTTATTAGAACTACACCTAACTTCTCCCAAACGTATTCATTTCGAATTCGATCCCTTTTTGTTTGGCTACTTATCCATCTCAACATCCTCATACTGAAGGTCAAACAAACTTAAAATAAAAAAAGTATGCAATGAGACCATTTATCTTTAGTACAAAGGTGGTCACAATTAATCTTAACCATTAAATATGAAATTTGATGGCTATATTTATTCTATTGAATAAGTTTAAACTTCAAAAAGAATTTTCTCGAACTTTGTGACATACTCAAATTATCATATTTCATATCAGACATTGTAAGTAATTGTGATCTCCTTGTATCAAAGGTAAATGATCTCATTGTGTACAATCCTTCAAAATAATCATCTAGTAATTTGCAAACTCAAAATTCATGTTTTTTTTTTGTTTTTTTTTTCAAATATTCATCTAATGATTCTTAGGTGGTCCAAAATATTCAGACTAAAGAAATCCTTCGGAGTAGGTCTTTTAACTAAGGAAGTAAACACAACACAATATAAGTGCTCTAGCCCAAAACACAAAACAAAGGCGACTAAAGTAGACATGCCGATGATATCATCAGCCAACCTAGTCTAAAGTGAAAACTGAGTTTAGTCAATTATTATTAAAAATTAATAGTTGACAAGTTTTGGCGGTTAATTAAGCAGCGGGTAATGAGCAACTATAGCCAACAACTTTTTTTTTTTATATATTCATATTTTCAATTTATTTTATATTTTTTTAAATTGATTCAAAGTGATATATAGCCGTACTAACCTTAATTCGACTAGGCCCATAAGCAATTCAATTCCAGATCCGATTCTAATAAGATTGCACCAAAATGCCACAAAACGAAAGCGTTTTATCATTAACATTGTCCCGAGATAGAGAGAAATGAAAGTGAATGGCAGATAGAATTGGGGTAGAAATAATTAATGGAATTGTATACTATGAGATCGTTTTACTCTTAGTCATTAGATGTCAAATTGGATGACTTGAGGTATATCTTACAGTTTAAGAAATTTTGTTTTGAACTTTACATCCAGTGGAAAAGGGGCTAGAGTTGTGGTGGTAGTATTTCCATACTTTAGTCACTATGTTATAATTTCTATTCCTACTAACAGCACCCCACTATCACCTTCAAAATTTAACTTCCAAACTATTTGAAAAAATGGGTAGAAGTATGTCTTCCCTATTGAATTACCCCCAAAAAAAAAAAAGGCTTTTCTATAACCAAACCACTAACACTTACAACCATCCAACTCAAAATCTAATGGATGGAGTGGTTGGACCTCCTAATACTAAAAGCAAATGGTCTCTTTGTATACTCTTTTTTATAACCAAACTACTAAAGCTAGAGAGAAAATATGATGTGGTTTCTATACGGTTGCAACAATAAACAATTCAATTAAGGTGCACCTTCAAAATTTATCATAACATGTAGTTTTGATGTAAACAATTCTCAAGATTATCTGAAAATCTATTTTAATATCTAATTATAAAACTTTTAAACTCCAAAATCAGGTAGATCTACAAACATATGTAAATCTTGAAAATGGACGATATCTTTGTAGACAATTTCATTTTTGGAACTCAATATCTCTTTTTTTTGTTTTTTCATATTCATACATCTCCGTGTCGAGATAATCAAAACAACATTTTTCGATAGATTTTTGAAGTGCATCTTTAATTCTAGATTTTAATATTGAAACCTTATATAAATTTTTTCCATCAAAATATATACCTGCTTGGTTATATAGAGAGAAATGAAGAAAGGGAGAGATATGGAGAGAGAGAAAGAGAGAGAGGTTCACATCAATGGAAGATAGAATCCTCTAAGTGGGGCAAGAAGTAAACCACTCAAGTTTTAAGGATACATCACATAGACGTAGAAAGATAGAGGAGAGAGAAAGAAAGAGTGCATATAGGATAGAGCATGTGGGGATGAGGAAAGCCACCTTCTAATCCCTTCGATGCATCAATCCCAATCCCAATCTCAATGAAAAATAAAGGAAGATGGCGATCCAAGAGAATGGGGAAATGAAAGTTTAGAGAGGGAAAGAGAGATGTTTGCAAGCCATCACATAGCGATGCGTTCAACCGCTGAACCACCCTCTCTCGTCACTCAAGCGCATCAGCAGAGACCCCATAGCCATGCCAATGGGATTCGAGCTCACACTGTTCTCCTCGTTATTCTTCCCACCATTTCTCTCTCTCTCATCGTCGCACTCCTCCTGATTTTGGTGCTCATTTACAGGCCGAGGTCTTCATCCAACAGAGCTGAAAAGCTCGCAGGAAATGCTTACGTGCCTAAGAATCTAAGTGCTCCCTCTGTCACATCTAGCCCCGGTGCCCTCTCCTCTCTCTCTCATCTGCATCTCTGTTTATTCACAATTCTCTCTCTCTCTACTGTGCATCTGTGTTAATTCACAGCTCTCTCTCTCTAGTCTGCATCTTTGTTTCTTTTTTCATATTATGTGCTACTGGGTGCTCTGTCTCTCTCTCTCTCTCTCTCTCTAGAAATGTCCGTTTCTCATTGGAAAAAAAAAGAAATTATGGTCTACCATGGTTTTCTGTGAATTGCCCTTTCTTTCTCTAGAGTGTCTATTACTCCTATGGATTCACAATGGTTTTCTGACTTGATGGGTGTTCATAAATATTGTCGTTCATTTTCTCTTTCTATGTTTTAAATTGTACTTATAGTTTCTGTCTAGCTTTGCTGGCTCATTTTTGGTCTCCATATTTTGTTGGTTCTTTAGGTGATGTGAGGAAATGTGGTTATATTGCGAGGCCCCCCTCTAAATTTAGAGGAGGAGGTCAGGTATTCACATATAGAGAGCTTGAATTGGCCACTGATAAATTTAGTGAAGAAAATGTGATTGGAAATGGTGGATTTGGGGTGGTGTATAGAGGGGTCTTGACTGATGGCACCCAAGCTGCCATCAAGCGCTTGAACAGGGATGGAAAGCAAGGAGACAGGGATTTTAGGGTCGAGGTACCCCTCTCTCTCTCTC